TGGCGCAGTATGGTTCATGGGGTCACGGAGAGTCGGACACGACTTAACGACTAAACAATACTTCAGTAATATCCACCACACCAAATCTCAGATTATATAAAGGGATTCTACATTTTAAATGCATTTGGCTTTGCTTTCAGATATATACTATAAGATGAATTTGGGGGGCTCATCATACAGCAAGAGGATTCTTATATCAAATATGGCTAACAAGGTCTGTGTTTTAAGGATCCCTCACCATTGTATGTAAGAGATCTGTGAATGAACAGAGGTATCTTTGCAACTTTCTTGAGCAGGGATGTGTAAACGTTCAGTACAGTGTTTGTATCTAACTGGATTTAAGGAGCCCCCCCCCCCCCCCGGTTGCAGCTAGCACAATTGAAGTGTTGCCAAATACCATTAATTTGGATAATGAAACAGCTGTATCATTAACTTACAAAAGCATGGTATAAGCTGATCAGTGAATTTAGGTTAAGAAGTAGTGGCTATCTTTCAGTTCTTTATGATGATCATTAACATTTTTAAAAATCTAGAAACCTTGCCTCATATATCATGCACAATACATTATACATTTTAACAACTGGGGAGGTCAGCAGAGAGAATGGTAATTATTGGTGAGCTGTCTCCATCCAGATGTAGTCACAACAGTCATATCAACTGAACTCATAAAAAGTGCTTTGAGACAGGCTGGTTCAACCTCCAGCTAGGTATCTTTTTTTTTTTCTTCAAAAAGCTATCAATAGAGAGGCAACATGATGTTTTTGAATTATGACTTTGGTAATTCCTGAGGTAGGGGAAATGAAGGTTAGGAGATGCTGCTTCTTAACCACTACACAAGTCTTCCCTATTGTGGAATAGCCTACTCTTGGAATAAAGTCTTACACTATCCCAGTTAACAATTCATACAGCACTTAGTATCAAATAAATTGTGACCATTTCAAATTTCAATTTAACTATTGTGTTCCATTCTTTGTTTTGTACTTTAGTTATGCTTTTAATTTTTCTCATTCTTACTGTTCATACTTTTTATTCTAATTATTATTTAATTACTTTAATGTTTTTATTAGATTGCTATAAACTGCCATGAGTCTTTATTGATTTGGTGGTATACAAACATTGAGTGTGTGTGTGTGTATCACGAACACATACACACACACAAACTCAGTGCTTGTATACCACTCTAACACACACACACACACACACACACACATATATATCACTACTTGGGTTATGAAACTCTAATCTTTTGGATACATTTCCTACGCTTGGAATAAATGGTCAGATAAAACTTGTCTATGATATTTTCTTTTACTGACACTTCATTAATTGTAGAGTTAATTTCTACAATTAGAAACATTTTAGATTTAAAAACCAGGTACTCTTCCCATAACAGTAGAAACTTTTAGAAATAGAGTTAGCTTACTAAAGCTTGACTGGTCAATCTTAAGCATTCTGGACCAACTCTATGGAACTACAATATTTGAGTCATGTCCTAGTAAACATTAACTGTTTTTAACAGTTTAATAAAGCAGTGGCTACAGATTTCAAGTTTAAAATAAGATGTCTAGGAAGATGGATCATATTGTGTATGTCTACTATTTTCAGAGACAATCTTTTAAGAAATTTATCCCTTAATAGGAATAATAATTTATAAAGGATTTTTATATTCTGCAATCATATGTATTTAAATAGTTTTCTTTATCAAGATCAGGAATGGGGAAACTTTTTTGCCAAGGACTTTGTTCCTCAAGGATAGTTTCTTGGGGGCCCTGAGGTGGGCAGTCTGAAACAAATGGGTGGAGCCAACATTAAAAATAAATGGGAACAAGCACTTTCTCTTTGATTTCTCCCTTTTCCAACACTTTTTCTTTATTCCCAAGGAATAGGCTGCAGGAAAGGGATAGCTAACTTTACCAGAGGTGTGCATTGAACTCTTGATGGTTGTTTCAAAAGTAGGCCTTAGGCTATATGAAATTAGCTCAGAGGCTGCAGATTTCTTGTCCCTGATGTAGATTAATACATTATTTTTGATGCAGGATTTGACAGTGATTGTCACCCAGTTAGTTGGACCACACCCCCACAAAATATAATACCTTGTATATTGACTTAATTCTTACCAAATAGTTTGCATTGAGAAGAAACAATACAGATAATTCTGTAACAAGCTGTGCATTACTTAAGATAGTTGCTTTTAATTCTAGTATTCTGTTCTTAATTACTGTATATGTGAAATTTAGTTTAACTTTCAGTTGAAGGAGTATTTTTAACAGCAGTAACTTGTCAGCATCTAAGTCTTTTACTAGGTATTTTACTCATTTTTAATGTCAGTACTAGATTAGTACATATGACATCATATACATACATATGCATCATAGTATGCCCATCATTATACAGAATTTTAAAAAATGAGTAATGAAAGAAATTGAAGCAGGAGATAAGAGAGAAGGAAAGGAACTCTGACTAAATTCACTTTACATCAAACCTATTTACTATACCTCTCCATGCTGTTCTGTCCTTACAAACCATGCTAGCTTTGATCATGTCCATACACTAATTTATACTTTGTCTTTTGTTCTTTAAACTTCTCAGCTTTCTTTTTGAGGATCATATTAACTCCATTGTACCACTACTTTCAACTTTTTTCCCCTTCATCTCATCCACTCTTTTTTCATATAAATTTTGCCATTATTGAGAGGCCATTTTGAGATTTCTCTTATATGAGAAGATTTTGGGGCGGGGGGGGATCAATATTACTGTTAGAAAGTACAGCAGGAATTAAGTTTGCCTAGTATATATACCCCCACAAAACAAATTTATAGTAATTACTGAATTAAAACATCAAATGATTAATCTTTTCAACAATACAGATACTTTTCAGATAATTATGAGTTTCAGATTATAATATACTTGTATGTGAGTGATTATGGTTTCAAAAATGAAAAGCTTGCATAAATTGTTTTAATTTAAACTAAATGAGAAGCATGCTTAATCACAGGCATTGTTGGTTATTTGCTAAAATCAGCTCCCTCTCAGGTCACTGATACACATAGTGCTGGGTTTGTTTTAAAAGAGTGTATCTATAAAATGGTTGAAGTCATTGTACCAGTTTTCTGTACTTGTCAGTTAAAAATAGTCAAGTAACTAAAATTATGTGCCGCCTTTCTGGTGAATTTTTACTGCATTTGATTTAAGTGCCTGTGTGAAAAATTATAAGGAAGAGTAATATAAATTTCAAGAATTGGAAAGACTGGGAGAACATTTAATTCTCGCTGGAAAAACCATAGCTGATTAGAATAGAATTATTAAAATTAAGCAATACAAAATGAGATTTAGAAAATTGTAAAATAAAAATCGAACTGCAAATATATACAAAGCAATTGCAACTTTAAAATTATATGGCTTTTGCAATCCTAGCATGAGCTTGGTATTGCAGACTATTTAATTGTCTGCCAATATTAAAATTGGGAATTGGAGGTGTGTTGCAACGAAGAGTACGTAGTTAAATACTCTGTTTACTGCATTTTAGTAACCCTAATAATTACCTTTTGGAATGCAAACTAACATTTAATATTAATGAATTCAAAGCAAATATTAATTAGTTTACTATTTGTACTTTGGTCTGTTGACACAGGAATGCTTTATACAGTTTAATTTTGTAGAAGTTATATCCATTAATGTTTTCACAAGCGATCTTGGCTTATAAATCAGAAGTAGCAATTGTCACAAGATGCATGGATCATAGCTTTGAAAAGATGTGCCTATAGACTTCCCGCATGGAAGCATTGGTACTTCTGTTACAACTTGAAGTTTGTTTGTCATTCATTAGGGAATACCCCCAGTTTTCTTTTTGGACTTAAGAATCATTACTCTTCCATTTCAAACTGAATGGAAGCCAGATACAACCCTTTGAGCCATTTCCATACTATAGCCCTGTTTATTTTGTACAAGCCTGATTCAATAAAAAGTTTCCATTTCCACATTTACTTTACCTTTGAGAGAAAGAATTTCATGCATTGTTTTATATATTGGAATTGCTGTCCAGAAGAGAGCAGCCTCTACTACTTTTGTATAGCATTGTCACAGTATAGTACAATTACACTGGCTTTTACCTATTCTTCAATCTAATAGGTGCATTGGGAAGTGCAGGATTTTGAATTTAAAAGAGCGTATAAGAAGCCATTGTGCGACTAGAGCAGCATCAGCATCAATTTCTTTTATGTAAATGTGTTTCCGTTTCATATATCACTTGTATCAAGGTCTTTGCAGTTGTGCTGTGAGATTATAAACTGCTTTGCTAATAATGTACTTCATTTGTGCAGGCAGAGGGAGAAGATAGCCTTAAAAAGATGCAGTTAATGGAACTTGCAATTCTGAATGGTACCTACCGAGACGCCAATATCAAATCACGTAAGTGCTATAGTACTGTATAACTTTTCATATGTGTACAAGAATTTTAGTTTTTTATATGCCAAATGGGGGCAGCCAAAATGTGTTGTCACGTGACATTTTATAGCTTTTTAAAATATCCTTGGTGCTCACAGGATATTTTGTTATTGCTTTATGTGTATTATCTTGCTTTCTAGAGCATGCATACTCTCTGTCCATATTTTTGTACTTAATAATATAGTACAGATGGAGCAAAGCTTGCTGTTGAAAGAAGAGGTATTGCACATATTTTCTGGACATATCTTGTTTTAATTAAACCTTCACTAAACATGTTCCTAGTTGTAGTGACTTCTACAAAATAAATTCTACATAATTCAGCCATAGGGGCAGAGTCTTGGCATCTTCAGGAAAGTGTAGTTCTTTTATCCGTTAGGGGGATACTCAGAATATAGTACATTCTGTATAGTATTTTTGCTTGTTTTCCAATTTCCCCCACTTCTTTAGCTGTGAATACAGAGATCAGTCATACAAGAATGATGATGACTTTGTAAACACTCTTAGTTTGATTTAGCATGTTTTCACAAATGCATGTATTCAGGGTTATCTGAAAACTAAATGCTTTTCACTTACTGATTGGATTATATTTTAGTCATGTTGAAACATTAACAGGCAAATCATTGCATTTTGAGAATAAGAATGGTTAGTCTAACCACTAATAGATAATAGGCAATTATATTTCACATCAGTGCTCTTTTATGTTTAATGAATCACAAAATGATAGAAATGCAAGGTTTTCTGGTGTGTGATGGGGTCTACTACAACACTTGCTCCATACCTGTTCCTACAGTTGATTCATGTTCTAATGTACACATATAAGGAACTGCAGTACTGGCAGTGGCAAGGTTGCAGATCCCTTGTATGGCAATATAAGGCTGAATTTGATTCAGAGCTCAGGCACTGGTTTAGAAAGTTATTTTCTGTTGGATTTCCTTCATCCATAATTTTAGATAAATAGTAGATAATATTTCAGAAATTTGCAGAATATTTAAATATACGTAGTACTTGTAGTTTCCCCTGCAAATGATAATGTGGGAAATTTAGTGTATGTTTTAAACTGTAATCAAATATTAAGCAGTACCTTTAAAAACTTGAGTCCAGAGACACACTTGTCCTATATCGCTACCAATGAATCTAAACAGAGTCAAAATAAGAGTTTGTTTATTTAATATGCTGCCACACTCTATTTGGACTCCTGGCATTAAAAGAAAAAATCCAAACATAAATTGAAATAATGGGTAAATACGCTATTCATTTGAAATGTCCCTTTTAGTAAACTTGTATGGACTTCCAGCTGCAGAGCTTTAAAATGAATTTATGCATACAGGACCTTGAATTCCCATTCACTGTAAGTGATCTTGCTTTAGGCCTTGAAATTATTGAGTTGACAATAGCGTGGGTTTGCTTAAATTTTAGTCATGTAATCTGATACCTGTTTGAGCATCTGATCTCAGTTTTCTTCACTTTTGTCATTAAATAATGTTTTGCAGCTTTGAGAGATTATTCTTTCTTATAAAATACAGAAACAATTTCTAGAATAGTGTAACTTTTCTTTTTTAATACTGTGGTTTGGATAGTATGATTTTATGGCAGCTTAGGGGACAGCTGAATTATACTTAATACTTAGTTTTTATCTGAATTTTATTTTTAGTTCTTTTCTCGTAGTCTAAGTTGCACTGTAATATTCTCATTAATGGTCTCCAACTTTAACTAGTAATGTGGTGGTGCATTCAAACCACATCCCAATACATTCTTTTCATGCTCTAAATTCCCATTAGGAAAACACTGTCAGAATTTCTAAAACTTTGATGCACAGATTATGTACTTGGCCTTGACCACTGACAATCATTTGTTCTTCCTGTTGGGCCCCAAAGCTTTTGTTTTGAAAGTAATTTACTGATCCATAGGTGATGAGTTTGATAAGTTTTTAGTGGTCACCTTGATAAGTTATGCTCCAGAGCATTTCTTTCTTCTAAGGGCAAGCACTTGATTTCTCACAGTTTCAAAAAGTAATCTTGTCATGTCTTAAGGTACTTTGCTGTTAGTTATGGAAATATTTCCTAGATTTTATCATAAAGCATCACCTTTTTCTAATATAACAGCTCTGTGACTTTAATTTCTCATCATCATGCTAGGAGATGCCCAAGTATTTTAAAATATCTATAAATTAATGAGCTTAAGAACCTTATAAAAAGAACATTGGCAACCTATTGTAGATAATTTGTTCTCGGGTTATGTTGTGATGAAATGATTCTCTGAAGCCTACCTTTTTGTGATGAATTGGCTATACTTCAGTGTCTTACAACCTTATAGTTCTTTTTAACTGTACTCTGCACAGAAAAAATGTAATCAAAGAGCTTTAAGACTGAGATACATCTTCCTCTTCTCTGCACATGCTCCTTGGTGAAATGCTGGGGTGGTATTTGCAAAAAGCATTACAAGTGATATTAGGAAAACATACTGGGATAAAAGACTAACAATGGAATATGACAATAGACTTTGCATAGAAAGACAGGAATAATGACCCATCACACTACCATCAGCATGCTGTTTATTTGCTGTTAAGCTACAGTTCAGAATTTTGCCTTTCTCTGCCATCAAAATTGGTTCATTGCCTATTCTTTATTGATTAGTCCACATTTTTAGTAGTTTTATCTTAAACTTCAAAAATTAAACAGTGCCCCCTGCACATACCCAAAATGCTTTTTAAACTGGTAATTTAAATATATTTTAAAATATTTAGTTAGCTGCATTTACCTCTTTTTTGATAAACCATTAAAACTAGGTTTAAACCTAGAAATAGCAATTTAGATGTTTTTGACATATTGTCAACATTATATACTAACATATATGCTCATCTTTACTTATAGCTTATTATTTTCTAGCCTTCATATTACCAACCTGTGTCTCAGGAGAAAAAAGTTACAGAATTGTTTTCAAGCTATATTAGATAGTGAAAAATGTGGCACAACTTACAGAACATAATCACATTTTCAGTACCTATCCTTGTGCCCCAGTGGTCCAGAAAATGGGCAGAAGATACAAACAAATGTTAATGCTTGCTTACTTAATATAATGTTTACATGATAAGTTGCAACTGAAATATGTTACATTGTATATCTAAGCTTCACTGAATTTCTGTGGACTCTGAAATCTCACTATTTTAATATTCCATATGCAATTACAACAGTATTTTCTTTGTTTCCTGCATGCCTCTCAGTCTCATGCAGTCTTGAAGGCATAGGTAATGAAAAATACGTGATCTAAATTGAGCTTTTGTGCTGTGTGTAACCTGTTTTAGAAATCTACTCTGCCATTTTAAATTGGCTTTTATTTTGCATGTTCATTTTTAATCACACTGGGAAATGGAAAGCTGTTGCTTTTGAATGGTGTGCTTTGGCACTGTGTGATCAATGCATGTACTAATGATTTCCTTTTATTTTTCTTCTTTCCTACTTTTCTACTTTCCCCATCTTTTCATGTTTTGCACTACTGTCTCCATACTTTCTTCTGAATTTCTTTGCTTACTGTAGCAGCCCTTGCCTTTTCTCTTGCAGCAACAGCCCAGGCTCCAAGGATTATCACAGGGCCTGCGCCTGTTCTCCCACCAGCTGCCCTGCGTACCCCTACGCCAGCTGGCCCTACCATAATGCCTTTGATCAGACAAATACAGACCGCTGTCATGCCAAATGGAACTCCTCACCCAACTGCTGCAATAGTTCCCCCAGGACCTGAAGCTGGTTTAATTTACACACCTTATGAATATCCCTACACACTGGCACCTGCTACATCAATTCTTGAGTATCCTATTGAACCCAGTGGGGTATTAGGTAAGTTTCTCCAAGACAGTTTAATTGAACATTATAGGTAGCATGGTTTGCCCCGTTATGCTTGGGGAGATTCTGAAAGTATTTGTTTTGCTGTCAGTGAAATATGTTTCGGTTTTTAAAACAATTGGGTGAGTGCACATAATAAGGATATTGGATTTGAAAAATTTCCCTTTTTTCTCTGTAGAGGAGATTGAAATACCTGACATTCTTAATACATTGGTTCATTGGTTTTCAGCATGAAGACTAGATTTTAGTAGCACTTAGAAAAAGTTAGTGTCAATTTTATATTGCTGTTTCTGTTCATATCACATTTTTTACTTTTTTTCCTCTGTTTCTATATTAAATGTATATAATGAATTATGTTGTGGTTGTATGTCATTTTTTAATACTTGACTGCAAAGTAGTTACTGCCAGTGATTATATTCAGGGGCAAGAATATAGCCCAAACTAAGCACACATAAGTCTCATTAATTTCAGTTTGAGAAATTAGGTTGCAACCTTCTACCCACTTATGTGAAAGCATGCCTGATTGAACTGTATGCAATATATTGCTGAGTGCATATGTTATCTACCTAGCTAACTCTTCCATTGAAATCCATGGGACAGCTTAACTGTTGGTTTTTTTGGATCCTCAGGCTTAATGAGTCTTGGATCGACTATTTAATTCCCTATGGTCTTTATTTTTTTTAAACCTAAAATTCCAAGCCTGGTTAGAGAACCATAGATTTCATGGCTATATTCTTAGTTCCCATTTAGAAAACATTCAGCATAGTTTTTGCTTTAGATTTCACTGTATTTAAAAGTGCTTTTGTAATGCCAATTCTTCTACTGTAACTCACAACATACCTTTTATATAAAATAGCTGTTACTTTAAATTAATTACAATTAATAATATTGTTAAGGCAGGAGACTATACATTTTTCTGCTATCTCGCATTTCTACTTCCTTTGCAAGTCTTTCAAGATGATAGTATTTTCAGGAACTTTAGCTTGAATAGATACATTCGTAATCACCAATCACCAATCTTTCCAAATTACTTCATTTGGACCAGCATGTATATATGAATAACATGAATGTAGCATTTCCATAGATACTCATAATACACCATCAAATATAATTGTTAATTAAGTTTTAAGGCTAGACTGTTGGAACTATTTATAGTTAAGGATTTTTTTAAGGATAAGACATGATCCTATAATTTTAAAAAAGTTACTGCTTCTGTTTGAAATGTTTGCTTCCTCTCATTCTACGTGATGGTAGGTATCTATGGCACCTATCATAACTTAAAAATAATAATATAGTTTAATATATAGTATTAGTTTATAGCTGATCATTTTCAGAGAAGTTCTCCCTCACTAAGATTTACTAATTTAAATTAATGTTTAGAATTATGTGAAAATATTCTTTTTAATTTATGCTCTATTGCCTATGTGATGAAGTTAAGAGTAATCAAATCTGAAATTGGTGATATAATACAGTGCTTGAATGTGGAGAATATACTTGGTTTTTTACTACATAATATCAGAGTCAAGGCTATGCTTGTAACATGGAGAATGAATCATTAAAGTAAATACCATATATTAGTTCCCGCTGTATTGTGAAAATTAAGCATTAGTCTAATAAACTATGTGTTAATAAATGTTAAGAAGTATTGCTATGGAAATATGCCTCTTTGTTTTTAGTGGTGAATGCCAATAAGGCTGTGCAAATTATTTTAAAGACTTTTTTTGCAGTGTGTAAGAACCTAATCTATTCTAATTATTAAAACAGCTGCATCTTTTTTTTAAGTTTGTAAGCTGTTCTTAGCTATCTTTGCATGCGTGTGCATGCACATCCACTTCATTTTTTCCCCAGTGAGTCTGCTTTAATTATTTGAGGACAGGTGCCTTGTTGTATGTGCCCCCTCCTCACATATTGTAAAAAAATATATATATATATATTTCAAACAATTTGTAAAGCCCTACTTTACTAATATTTTTGGTAAAATATTAGGATTTAACAAGTTCCTAGAAAAGTGATTTAGGAAAAAAAAGTGTAAATAATTTAAGGGAAGGTTAGCAAATAAATTTAAGGGAAGGATTGACAGTAGCATCAAATCTTAGTTGACTAATATTCAATTCCCTTTTATCTTTAGGTATGGCTTTCCCAACGAAAGGCTAAGAATTCAAGAATGGTCTTAACTGAACCTCATCAGAGCTGACTTTTAACAAATGTTTAGTTTTCAGCAGCCTTGAAAAAAAAATGTAGCCTAGCAGTCAGTGACTTACTTGCACTTTTTTGCACATAGAAATAAAAATGCTATTAATTTGATGTAGCCTGTGCTATGGCAAACTAGCTGTGATTTATGAGTGTATGGTAGTATACTGACTGCTATGTATTCTGTACTATCTGCTTTACTAATCACCTAATTCATTGCAGTTCACAGTTATTGACTTAGTTTTTTTAAAACACAGTCTGTAGGCTTGAGGAATTGTGTTATAATTTTTTTAAAAATGGTAAAAACTGGAAGTTGTTTAAAAATTAGCAAAGAACCTTCAGTATTAAAAATGGCATTATTTAAGATAGTCCTGCTGCAAGGAAGGCACTTCAGTGAATATGTGACTAGTAAAGCTCAGTTGTGTTTGGGTCTAGTAGATTTCATGAAATACTGTAATCAAGTTTGTAAATGAATGGATAATGCAGGTTAAGGCCTGGATGTTTAAAATAAATGCAATATTAATCTGCACAGATATAATCCATATATTAAGGTTAAAATTTGAAACTACTGTGCCTTAACTTGTTGCTTTCTTTAAATGGTATTTTAAGAAAGTGATCGTTTTAAATCCATTTTGATAAGCCTGCTGTTAATGTTTTTTCAAATGTTTTCTAACTATCTTGGTAATTGCAATTTAACTAGGTGCGGTGGCTACTAAAGTTCGAAGGCACGATATGCGTGTCCATCCTTACCAAAGGATTGTGACCGCAGACAGAGGTTAGTTTAGTTCTGCAGTTCTTGCTTATAAGAAATGCTTTGAGTGTACATGGAAATTTGCAACACCACAACTGGTTAACCAAATTCTATTTTGACCATTTTATTGATGTCTTATATTAAGTTGAAGCAAACATAACACTTTTCTGGCAATTTAAAACTACTGTACCCTTTCTGTCAAAAATCTACACACACACACACACACACACACACACACACACAAAGAAAACTTCAGTGTATTCAGTATTCAAAGTTATAACTACCTTTGTAAGCACTATGATTTAATTCAAGTAGGCCTCATCTTACTGTTGCGTCGGTATTTGATCTTCCTGTAGGACTCTTCATTAATTTGAGATATATCAGATTGGTGTTGCAAAATAAAATGAATGGATGAGTGCTTAATAAGGTAGAAGTATAGCTATATGTATTATTTCAGGAGAAAGCTGAAGATTTAGTTTCCTCTCTGTTGACAAATTGTTGTGCCATTTGCCCTAAAATTTCTAAATTTAACAAAGAAAGTAAAAATGATATATCTCAAGTTCGAGTTTAGGTTTTCCTAGCTTCTAGGATTTAAAAATTGCATTAGTTTTCTCATTTACAGATAAAATTCATTGCTTGAACTTACTACCACAATTTTGATATTTTGGTTAGCAAAGCAAAAACCTTGTTTAGCTTGGTTATTGAAGGGAAAATAAATCTTCATTTTCTCCTTTATATTATGCAGTTTACATTCCTTGTAAATTCATAGGCCTTTGAATGATTTAATTTTTTTGTGAGAAGTGACTTCTCGGTTTATTGACATTGAGTTTACTACTGAAAGCACTGTGACTATGTTCAGGAACATTTCTTCCAGCTGTGGTATTATTTTGGTTTCTGAATTTGGCAACTCAGTTGTGATATCAATATATCTCCCTTACCTCACAGAGGTATTGGTGGGGATTAATTTAGGTTGTACTGGTCTGTGACCGTAATAAAGAAGCTGATAATTTAGGTTGTACTGTCTAAAGTGCAAATCAGATTAGAATGCAGAACTTTAATTCTTGGAGTACATTTTTTTAAAATATTGCACTAAAATAAATTGAGATAATAGATATTTTATTCCAAAATGAGATTTCGAATCCTAAATAAATACCAGTGCCTTTACTTTTAACCAATTCTTCAGCTCATACCATTGGAGCTCTTTATTAGAAACATTCCAAACAAGATAGGTAGTTTCTGGAGCATTTCAGAAATGTGCCACACTGTATTTTCAAAGTATTTTTCTTTTCTGAAAAAAGCACTGTTTGTATTGAATCGCTGTCATGAATGTTCACTTCTGTGAAAAATATCTTGTACAAATAATAAGGGAGCAAGATCATGCATTCCTACTTCCATTCTTCTTGGATGCCACATGTGAGTGTGTTTTTCAATGTGAAAAAAATCGTGCCTATAAGCCCACATTACTTGATTTTCCTATTTTGCAAAATATAGTCACATGTGCATATCTAGAGGTGATGGAAACAGGACAGATGTATCAAGTGGAATGGGAAGAAATAATCACATTTCACTGCTCATTGAGAGAACTGTACTGGAGAGTACTGGGCCAGAGACTCAACTTGCTTTTGATTTTTTGAAACTGGAAGGCTTTGACATTTGGATGGTAATTGAGTTTGTGACCTTCTTTTGATCGTATCTAGAGTTGGCAGCCATTAGAAACAATGTTTTGTAGGTTTGGGGGAGATTTGTTAAGAATAATTTGCAGGTATTGTATTAAGATTTATATTTTTATTTTAGTAATATTTGAGGGCATGTAGCATATGCTTTTAGCAATAGAACGTCCTAAAGTACATCTTAATTATATAGTTACCATTCTATATAATATGGTGACCTTTTTTTTCCTCCTAATAATTGGTTTTCCTAATGGTGGTATCTGATTCAGAAACACATGACATTAGTGAACATGATGAATAATTCCAGATTCCATCAAACTCTGAGGTGGCCTTTGTTTATTCATTTTGAATTGTAGATAATATTGTAAAAGAATGGAATACTATACCAGTTTTTGTCATTAATGCGTTTTTCATCTCTATCACTTGGTGCCCCATTCAGGTTTAATTTGTTGTGTGCAACCAAGTTGAAAATTCCATTGTATTAACATTGCTGGACACTGTATACAGTAGCTTCACATATGTCTGAATAATTGTCCAGTTTCAGTATTAGTTAAAATTCAATGTCAGTAAACCGAACCACTTTCTGTTCATAAGAAAAACTATGAGGAGTTAACTGAAGCTAGAATATGCATTAATTTGATCTGTGGTTAACTGAGATATTAAAAGGAGTGTCCTATTATTGTAATGTCTCATTAAAGAAGATTTTATTCTTAATGCTGGCTTATATGTAAGCATTGTGTTTAAAGCAAGAGCTCCCAAATTGTCTGTATCCATTCTCTGAAATTAGAATTAAAGAGATCACATACTTAATTTCTCATAAAGCCCCGCCATATAAATAATATAAAACTGAATTTATGTAACAGAGAGACTGACTGATTTACTTGTAATAAACTGTAAATGGTGTTGCACACTTGACAAACCTGTGTGTACTGTAGATGGTCAGGGACTTGGCAGAGGATGTATCACAGGTGTACTGGTATCTTATGATAGCTTGCATTGATTTACACACACAAGAAATGGCAGTGCTGAAACCATAACAGTAAGTGTTTTTTCTCAAAGCCAATTGTCACATAATTTACAAATTGTAATACCATATTAATCAAAATTGTAGTAAGTACCAAGAACGCTTTAAGATTCTGGATATCTAATACACATTTTTATGGTGGCAAGATAGTGCCACATTAAATATTTATTAATTTTAAGGTTTTTTTTTTTTTTACAATATTTTTAACTTAAACCCCACTTCTCAGCATTTAAAAAAAAATCAGGGAAAATAAGGTATCATTTAAGTTACAACAGTAATGGTTTTAGAGTTCATGAACTGTAGCCTGAATGATAGGCCATAGAAGTAATTTAAAACCAACCCATGATGTACGGCCTTTAAAAGTGTGCTATCTGTGAACATTGCACCTACTGAATTTCATTTTTAAGAAATGGCACAAATCTGACTTTGCACTGAACACCTTTCTCACTTTCATCTCCTCTGCTTTAGTCAATGGCAACAGTACAAATATTCTTATCAAACCTCAGAATTTATTAGAGATAATAAAGCTGTTGAATGAGTCTTAAAATTTGTACTACTGTAAAGTGGACCAAGTTGTTGAAGGAGAATGAGAGAGACATTAAAGAAGAAACAGCTCAAGAAAAATGGGAATGATAACTTTCCACTTGAGAACTTTTTTTATGTTTTATTGTAATATTTGTGTGTTTTGGAAAAGAAAATAGTATTTACAGGTGGCTTCTTTTAAAATATAAAAATATAAAGCAGGAATGTATATGAAATGTCAAATTTTATTGTATTTGCAAAGTATTAGCTTTGAAAAAAGAGCTGTTTGTAGTTTTTAAAATGCCTTATTAGTATCAATTAGATTTCCTCTATTTTTGATGTAACTAGAGCATTTTAAGTATAGAATTTTAAATGGCAGGACTTTTACAGTGTTTACATACCAAGTGCATTTTCTTAGTGTCCTATATGTGTAAAATAGTTTTTTTTTAAAAAGGAAAAGCTGGCTAGAACATTTGGCCTTTTCCTGTTTCCCATGAACAATGCCTACTCTTCTAGACTTCAATTTAGTATTGCTTTGTATCATGAAGCCAAGAAGTTCAGTGTTGTTTGTAAATAGAATCATTGAAAAGCAATAAAATTTATTGAACAAAAAAACTTGTTTGGCCCCTAGTTTGTGAAACCAAATGACAAATCAAGTTTCTTAGATTCATTTCTTTTAACAGTCAGTTATTAATAATCACATTCATCATTACTAGTTGCTTTGATTGCTTGCACATGGGAGAATACTAATGCTTAATAGCAGTCAGATACTGATATGGTGCACTGACTGTTCTCAATTCTTTTATCAGGTTCCAGAAATTGTTCATCATTTTGTTTTGTTTTGTTTTGTTTTTTCTTTCATTGACTGCTACTAACCATTAGTTATATTTTTATTTCTATTTTTCCTTGTTAACCAGTTTTGTGGGACTGGGCTTCTCCTTCATATGTTCAAATCATGATACAAGGCTGTCATGATTTTTATTGCATTCTGTAGATGGTGTCAAGCAGTATGTCAGAATTAAACATGCTTGTTTTTATTAGTTGTGATTAGTTTTCATGTTGTCATTAAGCCGTCACTAGCTGAAACTAATCTCTTCTCTATCTTTCTTTCTTTTTTTGTTTTTTGTTTTTTGTTTTTTTTGTTTCTAACCACCCAGCCGCCACCGGCAACTAACCTATGACCTTCTGACCTCTGAACTCTTCACCCAATGATGACCTGACCATGCCTGCCTGCTGATCAGTTAACTGGTAATCGCCTTTGCTTGTCTGTCTTCAGTGCAGCGAGCTGAGGCATTTGTCCGTTCGTCTTACCATCTAACAAAAAGACAAAGAATTTGTTGTCCTCCAACTCAGCTTTTTTTCCCTGTTTGGGTGAAAGTGGTTCTAGAACCTGCACTGAATAGTAGTAAAGCAATAAGGTCCAATTCATCCCTCCGCACTGATCATCTTTTAGTGTCCCACCCTAAAAATGGTAAGAAGGGCCTAATTTAAGAGATGGAAGCAGATGTCCCTTAACTCTCTGATGTCAGAGGCAGTTACTGTGAGACTTCTAGGAATCTTTCTCTTCTCATAAAGAAGTCAAAGCTCTCTTTGAATGTACTGTGTGATGATGCATCATGCATGAACCTTTGGTCAGGGATGTCATTGGTGAAGGGATTCCTAAAAGTATTCAAAATTTGACATGCAGTGTAGTCACTACCAATGCCCTCAAAGGGCAGAAGATGCAGCCTTTTTTATATTACCTGCCAAATTGGGTGTTTTTAATTAAAAAAAAAGTGCCATGAAAAATAGGTTACTGAATTTTTGAACCACATCAATGCATAAAAAGACAGCAACACTATAGAAGCTAATGCTGAGATATAGTTCTTTTACTATACATCAACTTCCTTTTAAAAAATTATATGAGTACAAGGTACATGCATTATGTGTCACATTACTGGGCAAACTGTTCAAATATTTTTTTAAGCCTCCCTGTATAGAGTTAAATTCATAAGGATATAAAAGCCATGCTTGCCTATTTGCTGTATACATGTAATGAAATTGTAGATAAAGTGTAGTGCATTGAAACAAATTGAAAAAAAAAGTAGATACTTTTACTATACAAGGGTGCTGGTGCAGAAGAAATATATATTTTTGGAAATGTAGCATTTTATACTTTCAAGTGTTATAAAAAAGAAAAAAGAACAAAGAAACCCTTTATTTCATTAAATGATTTTTTCTGGTGGTTGTCAAGAAACAAAAGACCAAAAGAGCCTTTTTGTCTTTCTTTTTTATTTTTTAAGTATTGGAATAAGTATAAAGAAAAGAAAGTGCCTTATTTTCTTCATGGTCATTTAGTCAGGTGTGTCGTATAATCAGCTCCTCCCTAAGACAGCAAGTTAATGCATGCCACTCAGTCGCCCAGTATGTGAAAAGAAGCTGTGAGGAAAGACAAATGAGTTGACTATTAAAATTACCTGGTTTTTGCCACAGCATGATGCAACCTTGTCAGATCCTAAACTGTGAAATAGAATTGTTCCACCAACAGCCAACCGCAATATTTTTGTAACATGTTCCCTCTTCAATTGTAGACAATATATTTTTATAATACTTGCTCAGCCTTAAACCAAAGGGTTCTATGATGCAGTTTCATTCTAAATCAAATTATAAGATTACAATAGTTATAGAGTAGCAAGTGTTTTGGGTTTTTTTAATTATTATTTAGAGATTGGTTTTCTTTTTTTCTGATTGAAATAGATGCAGGAAACTACAAGAGAACTTAAACTTGCTCCCATATAATTTGGTCCATGACTAAACCAAACATTAAGATTGAGCATGTTATAAGCTCTGGGTGTTTTATCTACAATGCCAAGTAGAGTATAGATTTGCATAATTTTTCTACTTGATGAATGTTAACTACTGGTTGCGCTTTCCATTAAAGGAGGATATACCAATTTACTATCTTGGAAAATCCAGCTGTGGTTCACTTTGAATTTTTAAAAGAAGTTCGTGTAGCTGAATTAGTATTAATTAACACTAGTGTTTATAAACACTTTACGCACAAACATGGAGTATAAAATTAATGAGCAAGTATCAACATGGTAATGGCTTTGAAACCAATTGGCAAAGATCAGGTGATACCTTGCCCTTTACATTGTGTCAGCTTATTCTCCTAAAAACCTTCACAGTTTCCGAATCAAAGGTCAATAGTAAGTTAGGTAAGAGGGCTTATTTTTTAAGCATCTGCATGGTGACTTTATCAACATTGTGTCTCACCTGGAAACAAGTATCAGTTTATTTACTATGCAATAAACATTCATGTTTTTGTACTCAGCTAGCTTTCCTTTTATTCTGCCACTGGCTTTGTCTTCCTGTTACATAACATTTTTGTTTTTTATTTGGTTTTACTTTTGGTATATGCTGTGCCATTTTGATTTTTGTTTGGTTGAATAAACTTGCGACACTCAAACATTTTGGAGAGAGAATTGCTATAACGTTACCAGTATTTGATCCAGTTTCATCTCAACTGTGATAAACCTGGACATTTTTAGATGCTGATCAGAGGTCTCTTCTTGGGAGAAGCGTGACTTCTAAAAGTAATGTTTGTTCTGAAACAAAGTTTGAAAACTTGGTTGATAACATTTTGGATCAACTTAAAGCATGACTTTTGAATCTCTGAATGCCTTGGTTCTCAGTATTATCATTCTTTATTGAATTTTTCTTTCTTAAAATATGTAGTTTAAGTCTTTTTTCTGACAGTATTATGTAATTTTTAGAGTGGGTATATGGGAGTGTCGCTTGTATGTAACCGTACAGATGACATGTATTTGTCTATTCTTTTATCTTAGTTTGATGCTATGTATGTAACATAACCAACCTATTGCCTATGAGAAACATGTAAGATAATGTATTTACAGCCATTGTTACAAGTTTATAATGTATTTTTCTATCTTGTTTTATATGTATGTTATATAACATTCAGAATAATTTTTTTCCTGATTGAGAAAAGGATACAAAAATGCAAAACCCACAATTTTGATAACTGAAAATTGCTAATTGTTTTGCAGTACTTTATTATTATATTGGGAGTGTTGTCTTTCTTAGGCTTTTAGTTAGCTACTGGATTGAATACATTAGACATATTTGGGTTTTAGTTGGGTTTTTACATAGCTTGCATTTTAATTCTTTGGTTCTTTGCTGTTTCTATTAACCCATAGCATTATTTTAATAAATGTTATAATACCAACCTACTAACTTTGGACTATGTCAGTTTATTAACCATTACATGTTTAATTGAATAAACAAGGCAAGACAAAAGAATGTAAGTTCTGAGTTCTTGGACTAACCCTGAAGAACGTGACCACAGATAACATGTGACTTGTTTTATGTTGTTTGTTTGGCTGACATTCTGCACACTACTATTGAATTGGCTTTGGTCATTCTGGACTTTTACCTCGTGGATAAGTGCCAGTAGAGTGGGGAACAAGTAGCATATTTGCAGGTAATCTTGTAGAGCCTTGCCACTCGCCTTTCAGCATCTGCATTACTAATTCCACAATCTCCTTTTCTAAAATAATCACTGTCATCTCATAGCAAAAGGGCAAAGATACCAATATGTTGGTATATAGTATGTGCCTAAAGAAACCAGTTTGATTCTTTGTTGAACCTTTATGATACATATATTCAGTTTGATTTGAATGCTCTGATTAAAATGATAGTTCAGCATCTCGGTATCTAAACAGCATTATTGTATACATTTCTGAATGTATCTAAAGCAAGAAACAGACCAGTAACCTAGCAGAATCCATATTTCTTCCAATTTCATTGTGATCCTAAAGGTGATTTAAGAAGCAGTCTTCAAATGACAAGTCTCAGGTAATTAAATTGTCTTAAAGCAGACTGTTTCTTAATAAACAGTTTTAAAATTGTGGGTTCACTGCTTCTTGGGCTGAAGGTTCCTTTTTTAATATTGGTGGTTTGCAGTGTTTAAATGCCACCATAGTACAGGTCAAAATTATTTAAAGTCAAAGTAGGTCATTTTCTAATTATTGCAAAAAGTATATAAAGTATCCATTTTTAAAAGAAGTCTAACATTATTTTGTATGCTTATCCATGGGGATAATTGCTTGCAGAAGTCTGTTGTAAAAAATTGTTCTACAGGTTTTTCATGAGCGGAGAACAGTTGGTAAAATATGGCTAATGTGGCCTCTTCATCTGTTTTCAAATTAAATTTAATATATTAATTTCTGGGAGACCTATTTATATGGAAAAATATTTGTATAAAACATTCCTATGAAATACTTCAGATAATTTAGAATGTAAACTTACATCCATTTATATCAGATTAATAAGATTTAATTTTGAAGACACATGCATACAATTGCTGTTAGAAGCACAACATGGATATTGTTTTTTTAAAAAAATTGAAGTCAAACCTTTTCATTTTTTAAGAAAAATAAGATTTTGTTAACCAAGTGGCATGTGAATCAGTTTTTCTACCTGTTAAAATATGTAGTACATTGGAAAAACTATTTTATTAATACTATGCAGCATAATTTAAAATGTACCATGTATTAGAAGAACCTGGAAGAGGATAGATTTAAACATAAGGATTTACCAGCTATGAATAATATAGTAAAATAGAAATTATTGAAATCTAAATGAATTCAAGTTAAATTCCCAATCTATTCAAGGCTAGTTTCCTAAAAATGTCCGATAGCAATGTGCCTTATTCAGTATTGCAGGATAAAATGTAATAGGGGTATTTAATATCCATGAACAATATGCATGCATACATACATATCTGAAATTATAGCTAGCATGGATTAAGCAGTATCTAATACTGAAAATTAGGTATGTTTTATATAGCCATCACTCCTTATGTTTTTGATGCAGAGGAAACCAAATGCTGCAATGGTCAAATAATGCATGTGGAATGAGAAGCAGTTGACAATTGCTTATACCTAAAATTACCTAAAACCCTTTTAACATTGTAAGGCTGGGAAATAAATAAACATTTATTTCATGATAACTTTCATACCACCAGTCAGAATCCCATATGGTTTGACAAGTTGGCAGTTTAATTATATAGTTAATTAGGGTGATGATAGAGGGGAAAATTTATCTGAGGTTATAGGATCATGAGTCAACAAGTGTAACATTAAACTTCCACATTTTTAACATCATTAGCTTACTTTCTAACAAAGTTACTCCTTTTAGAGGAAAACTTTTTTTACACTATTTTCATACAGTGGGGCAAAAAAGTATTTAGTCAGCCACCAATTGTGCAAGTTCTCCCACTTAAAAAGATGAGAGAGGCCTGTAATTTTCATCATCAGTGTGACTGTTTGAGGTTGTGGACAGGGGTCTTTTATACTGATAACAAGGTCAAACAGGTGCCATTACTACAGGTAACGAGTGGAGGACAGAGGAGCCTCTTAAAGAAGTAGTTACAGGTCTGTGAGAGCCAGACATCTTGCTTGTTTGTAGGTGACCAAATACTTATTTTCCACCATGATTTGCAAATAAGTGTGACTGTTTGAGGTTGTGGACAGGGGTCTTTTATACTGATAACAAGGTCAAACAGGTGCCATTACTACAGGTAACGAGTGGAGGACAGAGGAGCCTCTTAAAGAAGTAGTTACAGGTCTGTGAGAGCCAGACATCTTGCTTGTTTGTAGGTGACCAAATACTTATTTTCCACCATGATTTGCAAATAAGTGTGACTGTTTGAGGTTGTGGACAGGGGTCTTTTATACTGATAACAAGGTCAAACAGGTGCCATTACTACAGGTAACGAGTGGAGGACAGAGGAGCCTCTTAAAGAAGTAGTTACAGGTCTGTGAGAGCCAGACATCTTGCTTGTTTGTAGGTGACCAAATACTTATTTTCCACCATGATTTGCAAATAAGTGTGACTGTTTGAGGTTGTGGACAGGGGTCTTTTATACTGATAACAAGGTCAAACAGGTGCCATTACTACAGGTAACGAGTGGAGGACAGAGGAGCCTCTTAAAGAAGTAGTTACAGGTCTGTGAGAGCCAGACATCTTGCTTGTTTGTAGGTGACCAAATACTTATTTTCCACCATGATTTGCAAATAACTTCTTTAAAAATCAGACACTCTGATTTTCTGGATTTTTTTCCCCATTTTGTCTCTCATAGTTGAGGTATACCGATGATGAAAATTACAGGCCTCTCTCATCTTTTTAAGTGGGAGAACTTGCACAATTGGTGGCTGACTAAATCCTTTTTTGCCCCACTATAGATTGGAAACAAAAGCTATAAAAATTTTGCTGTAACTACAGTGAAAATAATATAAAGGATATGTTATTTGTAACAGTACTTTTCATTTTGAAAAAACAGCCATAATGTGCAGCTTAAAGAAGTCAGACACTATAAATTATTTTGTAAGTATGCTATATACTAGAAATTTTATCTAGCCCTTCCATTCCAGAGCAAGGATGCAGCAGAGAGTTCTCACTGGAGGATGATGCAGTGTAGTTTTCTCCAATTTCCCTTTCCCCATATCATTTCCCACAGTGTTCTAAACAGTGGGATCTTACTGGAACAATGTGGGTGATGCATAGGTTTCATGGGGTAGGAGAGTTCTTTCCCCAATTAAAATCTGAACATGATTACAGTTAAGCTAAATTAACACTAAAATTAAAATTGTATTTAGACTGATTTCACTAGTAAAGTGGAATGTAAATAAACACAACTAATTTCATTTGATCAAGTAATAAATTGCCAGTATCACTCTCTTTAGGGAACCACAAGACTATTTGTTTTTGCTGGAACTAATATCGCTAGGACTTTAAATATTTAGCAGTAGTAATAGTACTTTAGGCTTGCTTTTACAGTCACATTTTCAGCCTATTAATTAGGGGACCACTGGAATCATATCTGATGGAAATACTAATTGAGAGTGGACAGCCACTCAAAAATCATGTAATGGAATCATCTGCAGACCATCTGTATGTTGGCATAAATTTCTGCAATGCATAGAATAGCCCACAATTACAGTATATACCTCAGTTTTGTTTGTTTTTTTAATATTCTGTTTGGGATTCTGTGTCTTTTTCAGGTATTCAGAATTGCCAATCAAATATTTTATGTAATACTCAATGTTGAATCAAACTGGTTAGAAAGGAACTATGTTCCTGGTTCTTTTTATGCTGCCAGCTAACTAACTGCAGGTGTGAACATCCTGCCTCAGGTGGATATTTGAGAAGCAGCAGATTATTTATTTCCAATAATCAGTTCTTGATACTAGATATCATGACAGTTGACTACTAATTAAATCAGAATTACTCCCAGGAGAAAGGTTTGCATTTGAACAACTAATTATTAGAGAAAGATTTTTAAAAGATATAAATATTCTTTTGAGTTGTATTATTTGAATTTTGTGTCCACAACATAACATGTATTAGGAAAAATGGATGTTGCCCAAACACATGTAAATAAAAAACATCACACCTGTAAACGATGTGCAATGAAACTGGAAATTACATGTGCTTTATCATCAGAAGCCAATGGGCAGCAAACAGTGCTGCCATTACTTTTATATTTTGAAAAGTCAAATTTTGTTCTGTATGGAACTGTATGGCAGAATAAAGAATGTACATTTTTGCACTCTTTAACTGTCATTAATGGTTTTAGCACTTTAGTATATCCCAGCTTTCTATGCCTGGCTTTTTAATATTCTTTCACTGTAGACATCTATGAGTGGCTTGTATCAGATTTTAAACACAAATAGAAATGTCTGTATAACAGTGAAGAGTTTCTATAGAGGTATCTCAAACTAAAGATAAAATGATGTGAAATCCAGCATAAACAAGAATAGTTGTTTTGCATAGTTTATGAGCAAGAAAAAAAGGTAATGTTGCAATTATCTTACAAGATATTAGTTACACATTTTCTTACATGACATACAATTAGAGAGGGTGTATCTATTGGATAAGGTATTTCTCCTTGAATTGTCACCACCACCACCACCACATCTCTGAATGTTTGTGTTTTCATAGTCTGATTTCCTTAAGGTTGCTACTGCAGTAGAGGGGTGGGGAGAGAGTATTAAAAATGACATCAGTAGTTCAGCCTAAGGAACTGAGCATGGACATTTTTAATTATATGAGCTATTGATATTTCATTCAATGTATTTTGGAGGACATATCATGGTTGCCCTTTAGAATCTGCTTTCCACAATGATTTTGATTTACTTAGAGTGCACCCTTGCATCTCTACCCAGAAGTAAGTTCCATTGAGTTTAATTAAACAGTTCACAGGTAAGTGTGTAAAGGACTGATGTCCTAAGTTG